AGTTTTTGGATTTTGGGCCCCGTTTTTAAATTGGTCCACATTGAGGTCCAAATGGTCCAAAATTAAACTTTGTTTGATTTCATCAAAAATTGAATTATTGGGGTTCTTTGATATGCCGAAACTAACCGTGTATTTAGATTCTTAATTTTTGGTTCCGTTTTCAAATTGGTCTACATTAAGGTCCAAAGGGTCCAAAATTAAACTTAGTTTGATTTTAACAAAAATTGAATTCTTAGGGTTCTTTGATATGCTGAATCTAAACATGTATTTAGATTTTTGATTGTGGGCCCAGTTTTCAAGTTGGTCCAAATCGGGGTCCAAAATTAAACTTTGTTTGATTTCAACAAAAATTGAATATATGGGGTTCTTTGATATGCTGAATCTAACCATGTATTTAGATTTGTGATTTTTGGGCCCCGTTATCAACTTTGTCCACATTGAGGTCAAAAGGGTCCAAAATTAAACTTTGTTTGATTTCATCAAAAATTGAATTCTTGGGGTTCTTTGATATGCTGAATCTAACCATGTATTTAGATTTTGGATATTGGACCATAATAGGTGAATGTCCAATTTAAAATTTTTAAGTTCTTAGACCACATTCATTCTGTGTCAGAAACCTATGCTGTGTCAAATAATTAATCACAATCCAAATGCAAAGCTGTATCAAGCTTGAATGTTGTGTCCATACTTGCCCCAACTGTTCAGGGTTCGACCTCTGCGGTCGTATCAAGCTGCGCCCTGCGGAGCATTTTATTATATCCTACATTATAGTTGAATCATTTTTCCTTTTGATTAATGTTGATCACCTTCAACCCAGTATAAAAGCTTACAGTTAAAGTAAAAAAAAATGCTCTGAAACTGCATGAAAATGGGATATCCAATTCAATATGACTAAGTCCTCATCTATGTTGTTATTTGTTTTCACTAGTTGACATCATTGGTAGTAGTTTGTTTCTTCAGCAGGAGGGGAGGAAATGTAAAAAATAAATTTTGAATCTTGAAGGAAACTGATAATGACTGAAAATTGATGAATATAGGTGAATAATCCAGTGAATATTACAACAATGGACTGAAAAGATCTGAAAAGTCACTTTGACATATCCATATGTGTATGTAGAATAATGTTAACTTTAAACTCCATCATTTTTAATAAGTTATATATATTAATATTATGTGCAATATATTTTGTTTTAGCAAGCAAGAAAGCTATGCAAGTGGCAATATTGCCGGTCACTGACTAATTATGAGAAAACTCTAGCAACAGAGTACTGTAGATCTAAAATTTTTATTCATAGCAGATGCCTCTGAAGCCCTGAGGATGAACTGTCCTGACATAAATTGTTTCCAGGCACAACACTATCAACACTTTTTACCCCCATCAACATGTTATCTCATTTGTCGCCCCATTATCTACAACTAATAATGCCATAGTTAATTTCTCATATAACCCCTGCTTAAACCTGTTAATTAAGACAGGAAATGTAAATTTACAAGTTTTCAAACACAATCTATGGAGAGTGTGGTGTTCCTTTCGTGAAGGAGCGTTTGATTAAATCTGAGGTATACAAATGTGAAAAATCTTTTCTGAAATCTTGGAGTAGTTGCTGAGAAATATGGTTTTATTATCAGGTGGGTTAAATATATTTTATTGAATTACATCTTTCACAAGTGGTTCAGTGTTCGTGGATTTTAACATTGCATGTATGTGACATTGTACCACACACAAACTTTCATTCATTTTTATCATTTTTGTATGAATAAAATAAAATTTATTTCAGATTTCCTTAATTTTACAGTTGTTAACAAAGTGCAAAGTGCATGTAAACATGGAAGTTATTGCATTTATTGATATTTTTTTTAAATATAGCACTTTGGTTGAAAATTGTATCACTGGTATCACAGATTCGTAAAAAAAATATAATATACTGGTAACCCAGTGCTTAGTGGCTTTAGATCTGGCTGAGGACATATATACCAGTCATTATGGGATAGACATTCTTAATTGCTTCCTATGATTTAAACCCATAATGCACATAATAACTATATCTATGATATTTCAATTCATGTCACCAAGGTTTGTAGGATGCAAAGCTTCTAATACAATTACTTTATCCTTTTTTATACGGCTGCAAAAAAAATTTTGGGATTGTATAATGGTATGATGTCGTCTGCGTCGTCTTTTCGAAGACACATTGGTTTCCGGACAATAATCTCCTGATCAGGTCCTTAAAATTATCTAATTACTTGGTGATAATGTTTAATGAATTTGATTAAATGGGTCATTTTCATTGCAGAAATAACATTTATACATGTACTGAACTTGTAACCCAAACAAAGACATTGTGACCATGTATATACTGTGGCAGGAAACTTTTATAGTTTAATAGGAAGGGAAAGCTTTACAATTTCCTGAATATATTTATACACAGGGTGCAGTTAAGTTGTAAACTGTCTGTTGAGATTCTAATATTTCATAAATTTTGAGATGGATAAGAAAGAACTAAATTGGATTGTAAAATTTTGTGCAAAAAAGAGAAACTGTACTTTGTTTACAGGTGAGACTGCTCTCAACAGAATTTTCTGCAAGTTTTTTTATAACTAGTTACATGCAATATTTTTCTTATTTATTGATTCATAAATTTATCAAAAACAGCATTTAATTGTTTGTTTAAAAAAATATGCATATATTGCAAAATACTATATCTCTGTATGTTGTTAAAAGAGTGTAAGGTTTCCAAAATATTTATTTTAAAGATAATTAAGATTAGATAACCGAGAATCAAGAAATTCACACCTACATCAAACAACATACATTACATAACTAAACAGATTTACAATTGTTTATAAAATATTGAGAGAGAAAAATGACATAATTTTATAGAAATGCCATTCTCCATGGCAACATTAAAAGTGACTATTTTTAAATATTTTCATGCAATATTTAAACCTTCCTGTTGGATTCTATTGAAGGTCTAATCAAGCAGTAAGAGTTATGCATACAAATCAAACTGTAAAAACAGTATGCATCAATGTAAAATACAGCCAAGGAAAATCAAAATCAATAAATACTTGGCAAAATATACCAAAAATAGGGGAACCATAACCAATAATGTATGTTACTCTATTGAATATCTCAGTCCCACAAAACCTTTGCTTTCCTTAAGTGGAGGTTAAGAGCTAGTAGTCATGTATACTGTAATGTGACAGATCACTTTATTGCTAATGGAGACAAAGTACAGAAATATGTTTATATGAAGTTTGAGCAGCAGCACATCTGTCGTTGAGTTTGTTTGCCAATTTTTGGTCTACTTCAAGTATATATATAATGAAGGAAATGTTTGGGTTAAGATGATCTTCATAGAACTGATACTTTGTAACCATGCCATGAAAAAATGCTTAACATAAATTATAAATGATTTGAGGAGAAAACTATATTGAAGTTTTGTATATATATGATGAAAGATTTGATGTATCTGTTGATTACACGATGAAGATTATCTCTTTATTTTTATATAAATATTTGTTCCAAGTTTCAGTAATCTGTAGGAACGTTTGAGTGAGAAAAACATTATGAAACTTATGATATATGAGAATAATGATATCATACTGATCTTTTTAACAGTGGATTACTCTATGTACATGAGGTGCCATTTATAGTCGATATGATTGGGCCTTGCTGTATGAGTATTTTATGTAGCTTGTTTACTCAACTCAACATTTCACTGCAATGGTAGTAGTTTGAAATTAACTCCAGTCGTCTGCAGTTAAAGCAGAATGCTGTTTGCAATTTGTTTGACAGAGGATTTAGTAAGGGGGGGGGGACAAGCTGGTTGAGGCCTAAAGAAATGGTTATAGCGAATTATTTTTTTTTAAATATGATGGAAATAGTGTAATATCACTGCACCTTTTAACATATTCTTTAAAATATGAGAAACACTAGAATGTGGATGGCCAGATGGGTATGGTACCAGGTTCTGTAATGTGTAGTCCAGTGGCAGATCCAGAAATTTTCATAAGGGGGGCCCGCTCCAGTCATGCTTCAGTGATTCCCTATATAATCAACCAAATTTTTCTCACAAAAGAGGGGCCCGGGCCCCCTGAAAAACCCTCTTAATCCGCCTCTGTAGTCAAATACCTCTTCAATCATAAAAGTTCAAACACTTAATTGGGAATAAACCCTCTCTTGTTGACAAAATAAGCCTAGATATACATAAATGGGGGTTCAAAAGGAAACCTTTCCAAAAATAATATTTGAATATATCTGCAGCAGATTATTTGTTTCACAATATAAAATTGTAAACTTGTAAATAAAAAGAAATGACAAGATTTGTATATTGAGGATGAAGTGCACTCCTATTGATACCAGATGATTGTTTACTGTCTTTTATTATCTCTTGATGGTTGTGCTTAGACAAAACTAAGATCATTAGACATACCTGCAGGAAAGAATTTTCTACAATTTATTTTTTCAAAAGAGATTTGTTGAGATAAGAAGTCAGAATATATATTTTACTGTTAAATCTCTCCCAATCTATATTATTATCAGATCATAGTTTTATGCAGGCTCTACATCCAGGAGGAGTTTATCATCTCGTTGATGACCTTCTAGGTTGGATATTTGTTACCCTCTGTGTATTTGTAGAAGAGAATTAAAGAAACCAATGTATTGATCCTGACCTGACTGCTGTGAGAATTAGATAAACAATTATTCTGAGTAATTATAATATTTGTAAACCATCTTAACCCTGATTTTAAGGTTGTGACCCTATCCCTTGATTAATGAGGTGATTAGCCGGTGGTCAGTCAGGAGTATATTGACTGATGGTTCCAGACTTCATTAAAACCTGTTTATCTTTATAGAACTGATGTGCATCAAATGTGAACAGTGTCTGATGAGCTAAGATAGACACACCATAGAAGTGAAAGGATTGTTATGATAAAGATGTAAATACAACAGTTGTGTTTTCGATCACTAATCAATTTTCATATTTTCTCTACAGATGAAACAGTACAAGGTAAAATGGTGCATGCAGATGCAGATTGCAAAAGGTAGGTGCAGTATTTTGGTAATTAGAAACTTAATAACTATGCAATTTAAATATATATATATATAGCTGTACTGAGGGAACAAAGTTCAGCAGTTAGAGTATTTAATTTTGTGATAATTCTCAAAAACTGACATTACTTAAGACTTTGTGTAAGATGCAAAAATGACATGGTAAGTTTTGTATTTAGGCCCATTATAAAGAAACTTGGTGTGACATATCAGTGATATTTTATCAATGAAATATTACTAAGTGAAACACTAATACACTTTGTACATTCATGTGACTTTGACATACTTTTGATTTTCTTAACTTAGGTTATTCTTTTATTATTTGCATTAAGCCTAATTATATAATATGCCTAAAATCCATTGTAATTCATGATCATTCATGTTGAACAATTATATTTTAATTGTCATTATTGTTCATTGTAATGTCTTCTTGTATACATGTAGTTCAAGACATTTGAGGAGCATTTTTATTCATATGACCTAGATAATATGTTGGCTTCAATTTAATTATAGTTTAGAACAATCTCTCAGAAACTACTTTGGTATATCAATAATTCACTACTATAACACTCTCATTTGTATACAAAACAGATCCATAACATCAAGGTCTCTTTCAGCAATTCTTGCCAATGTACTTCATGAATGTAGCTGATACCATACATGTATAATGCAATAGTATCCTGGTCTTGTCTTAATCTTCCTGCTCAGTCAAGTCTTTAGTCAGTAGTCTGAAGTCTAAGGCATGTTAAATACAGCTGAGTCATGTAAAACTTTGGGCATTTTTATAGAAGTCTTTTTCCTAAAGCTTAAGTATGTTGAGGGGGAAGGAGCAAACCTAGAAAGGTGGGAAAACAAATTAGACAGCAGCAGAAAAGATAGTAAAAAAAGGACTTTGAATAAATATTTCCAAGATATTTATGTTTGCAATGTCTTAAGGCCTGTTGTCTCTATCAAAGTTTTCTTGTACAAGTTTTCTTGGTCAAAGTTGTTGTTGGATTTTTTTATAGTGACAAATGTCAAAGAAAACTTTGATAAAAAAAATTTGATGGACTTGGATGGAAAATAATCTCATTATATTTTTCTTGACACTTGGATGGACTTCGATGAGAATTATCCATTCACAATGCAGTTTTTTCTTTGACCAAGTTTTTGATGAAAAAATTTGATAGTGCCAACAGATGACTTGGACCAAATTTACCTGGCCAAAGAAAACTTCAAGTTAACTTTATAGTTATACTAGAGAGAATTACCATTCTATTGATTAACATGGTACATGTAGGTGTCTTTTGTGGTGCAGAAATTGCTGACAGTTTCAAAGATGAAGGAATGGTTATTTGTCCCACTTAGTGTATAGTGACTGTTGGGAGGGTTCTCTAAAACAGTTTGATATTTTCTCTCTTATTCTTCAAACTTATGAAATATTTTTGGACTTTTAAAAGCCTCCAGGCTTTAGGGCATCACGTTATCAAATATCATACTAAAATTACCAACATTCAGTCAGTAATTCTATTTCTAAATGCCATCTGTTGCTGTCATTTTAATATATGTGAGAAGGATTTTCAATTTACAGAATAGTTGTGTAATTAATGACTTTTTGTATACTTTATTGTACTCTACAACACCAGGAGTTCTTTTAGATATTACGTAACACCCATTAATTGTTGGCACTTTACGTAGTTTATTGTTAGTAAAGAGGAAGCTATAACTTGGATTGGGGGTAGCAGGAATTATTCATTGATTTTCATGCCTCTCTCCTGGAAAGAAAATGATGACCAATATTATATGAATTATTGAACTAACTTGTCATAACATTAAATCATGTTTTATACACATAAAAACTGTTTAAAAGTAACAATCATCTATAGCTATCTTAAACCGACCGTGCGAGGGATGTATATCCAGTCAAGGTCGTAAAACACTTCCAGTAGCTATCTTAAATTGAATATAACTAAGGAGGAAATAAAGAGTGTTTATCAATTAGACAGCAAACCACAGGACAATAAAACCAGAAACAATATCTTAAGCTTACATTTAGCCTGTTTTAAAGTTTGATTTTGTGATCAATATAAAATATACATTGTTATGAATATAAAAGGAGATGTTGGTATACATCAAGAAGACATCAACAGAAAAACAAATGATCTTCAATACTTTTCAATAAAACAGAAATGTGTGTACTGGTGCAATATATCAAGCTCTTAATTGTCTCAAGTCTACAAAATTATGTATTTAGGCTGCTAAATTTTGTAAAGATTGTATTGGCTTCTTGTAGAAATTCTTACAGGCCTAATATGAATTTCACAAGCCTGTGCTGTTGGGTCTATAGCCTAGCATGAAAACAACAGGTTTCAGCACAAATTTTCTGGTCCAGTTGTAGACAGTTTGCTTGATCTTTTGCATATAGATAAAAGAAACAGAAAGGTTTAAACATTACTGAATTATCGCTTTGATTACATTTCAGAAATTCATTGATATCTGGTAAACCGAAGCCTCCATTACCAAAGAAACCACCAGTGGCTGTCAAACCTAAAGTGCTGACAAAAGACACCAGTGAAGATCAAGGTATAGCATTGGCCTCATCATTTGAACTTCCAAAGGTTTTTTTAAGGTGCAGTTAACCATGATGTAGCACTTTATTAACACTTGGATCTAGATTCTATATTAAGATCAGAGTTTCTATCAAGTTATATACAGAGGCAAATTTAGAGGGGGAGGGTGGGTGCGGGCCCCTCTTTTAATGGAGCTACATTTATGATTAATCCAGACGTTTTAACTATACCACCCCAAATTTTGTCCAGTTTGGGGGCCTGCAGGCCCTTCTTTTTCAGAATCCTGGATTCACATCTGATATATACCTAATATGTACTTTACAATGACAATAAAGATTTCCTAGATATTCTACTCAAAGAACACAGATAATTATTATAAACTTGAGAAATGTTTATAAAAATTTCGAATTTTATTCAGAAATATTGTTCATAAACAGTGTTGAAATATATTTTTTCCACACGGACTGAAACTAAAACCTGTCCTTTTATAGTTATATACTAATAATAGAACAAACATTATGTACGATAATTGTGAATTTCTTAAAAATCTTAAAAGGACACACACTAAGATTGTTTACATAAGGAAATTTACTTATGAATTGTTCCTCCTCAGAGATTAATCATCATAAGTAATTAGTTATGAATATAAGGATGAAACTGACTCAACCATGGGTCTGTGAACTACATACACACTTCAGATATAAAGGTCGAGGAGTTCAAAATATGTTTTTTGTCCTCCAGAAAATTTAGTGTGACAAATCTTAAAAAGTCTGTTAAATTTATTATTCTAGACTAGAGGCAATATTGACATGTGGATGTTATTGAAGACTGTTTGTTAATATTTTTTTTTTTATACGACCGCAAAAAAAATTTTGTGGTTGTATATTGGTATGACGTTGGCGTCGTCGTCATCGTCGTCCGAAGACACATTAGTTTTCGCACTCTAACTTTAGTTTAAGTGAATGGATCTCAATGAAATTTTACCATAAGGTTCAATGCCACAAAAGGAAGGTGGGGATTGATTTTGGGGGTTATGGTACCAACCAATCAGGAATTAGGGGCCAAAAAGGGGCCAAAAATAAGCATTTTTGTAACTTCCAGACATAACTTTTGTGTAAGTGTATGGATCTCTCTGACATTGTACCACAAGGTTCCATATCACAAAGGGAACGCTGGGATTGATTTTGGGGGTAATTGCCTCCAAATTTTAGGAATTAGGGCCCAAAAAGGGACAAAAAACAAGCATTTTTCTAGTTTCATGACAATTACTTGTGTGTAAGTCTATGGATCTCTCTGACATTGGCCAAAGACCACAATTAATGATCCCGCTTTTCATTGTCCACGAATATAGTTCCTTTTAATTAGAGTGTATTTTTTCTTAATTTTTTTTCTTTCCCTTCCTCACTCATTTCTTAGATTTTTTTGGATGGAAATGAAAGAAGAGAGGTGAAATAAACTTTTGGATGTTGTATTTTAACTGATTTTGATATGGAAAGAGTGATTAGGCCAGGTGCAAAAAGGTGATATTTACAGTTTTCGGAACATCTCTTGACTTGTCCATAGGGGTATGGATGTGTATTGGCTAAATTTGTAAGATGCTGGGGAGCGATATTTCTGAATGTTTGATATATGTTTGGACTAGTACTGTACTTTACACTCACAAAATATTTGACAAAAAGAATCGGTGCAATTTTTTTAATGAAACAAAACGTTATAAAGAACTAATAGAGAATTTAATTGTGGTCTATGGCCCATTGTATCACAAGGTTCCATATCACAAAGGGAATGCTGGGATTGATTTTGGGGGTAATTGCCTCAAAATTTTAGGAATTAGGGGCCAAAAAGTGGCAAAAAACAAGCATTTTTCTAGTTTCATGACAATAACTTGTGTGTATATGTATGGATCTTTATGAAATTGTACTACAAGGGCCATATCACAAAGGGAAAGCTGGAATTGAGTTTGGGGGTAATTGCCCAAAAAGTTCAGAAATAAGGGGCCAAAAATAAGCATTTTTCTAGTTTCCAGACAATAACTTGTGTTCAAGTGTATGGATTTCTCTGAAATTGTACTGCAAGGTACCATACCACAAAGGGAAGGCTGGGATTGATTTTGGGGGTAATTCCCTCAAAATTTAATAATTAGGGGCCATAAAAGGGCAAAAAAACAAGCATTTTTCTAGTTTCAGGTTGTGTGTAAGTGTATGGATCTTTATGAAATTGTACTGCAAGGTTCCATATCACAAAGGGAAAGCTTGGTTTGAGTTTAGGGGTTATTGCCCTAAACGTTTAGGAATTTGGGGCCAAAAAGGGGCCAAAAAACAAGCATTTTTCTAGTTTCCAGACAGTAACTTGTGTTCAAGTGTATGGATCTCTCTGAAATTGTACTGCAAGGTACCATACCACAAAGGGAAGGCTGGGATTGAGTTTGGGGGTGATGAATCATAAGGGGGTTCAAAAAATTTGGGGGGGGATTTTTTTTTCATTTTTTTTCTTTAAAATTTTCCATTTTAAATTTGTTATTTCTGATTTATATATAAAAGCAAATAATAATGATATGGTTTGAATAGGTAAATTAAATTTTTTTAACTTCTTAGACCACTTTCATTCTGTGTCAGAAACCTATGCTGTGTCAAATATTTAATTACAATCCAAATTCAGTGCTGTATCAAGCTTGAATGTTGTGTCCATACTTGCCCCAACTGTTCAGGGTTCGACCTCTGCGGTCGTATCAAGCTGCACCCCAGCGGAGCATTTTATTATATTTTGGTTGTTGTGTATCTGTTGTATATCCCACATCTTCATTAGGTAGCTGTATCACTTACCCTAATTGATGTATACATCGTAACTCCTTTTATTCACATCAGTTCATCAAAGAATATCTTTATAAGTAACTTAGTCACTGGTTAACTTTATTGAAATATACTGAATTATGCCTTTGAAAAACATTGTAAGATATGTGAAAAAGGCAACAGGAAATTTTTAAGGAAGTTTGAACTAAGCAATTTCTTAGTTCATTTTTGTCTCGCCTTCGATGGCGGTGGCAGTGGCGTAAACTATTTGTATAAAGCTTTATATTTCAGAAGGTAGAAGACCTGAATGCTTCATACCTTGTATGCAGATACCTTATGTTACGAAGTTTCCGTCTGTCATATGCCTATTGTCCTTGACCTCATTTCCATGGTTCAGTGACTGCTTGAAAAAAAATAACAGTTTTTTTGTCATGTGAATTTCTCACTTATTATGAGTAATAGGATAACTATATTTGGTATATGGATTCCTTGCAACGTCTACATGTTCGTTAGACAGGGTTAACCTGACTCAACCTCAAATCATGGATCAGTGATCAAGGTTAAAGTTACGTGATTAGGTCCATTTCTCAGATACTACAAGCAGCAGGTTGTATATGTGGTGTATGCAATAATTGTAAGGGGTACATGTCAGACTGGCAGGTTTCATCTGACCTTGACCTCATTTTCATGGTTCATTGGTCATTGTTAATTTTTTGTGTTTTGGTCTGTTTTTCAAGTACTGTAAGCAATAGGTCAACTATATTTGGTGTATGGAATGATTGGAAGGTGTACATGTCTGTCTAGCTGGTGTCATCTGACCTTGACCTCATTTTAATGGTTCATTGGTCAATATTAAGTTTTTGTGTTTTGGTATACCGTTGTGCATCTGTCCGTCCAACTGTCTGTCCGTCAACTCGTCAACATGTCGGACAATAACTCAAAAATGCTTTAACCAATTTGCATGTAACTTTGGTGAATTGTTTATAGCTATTGACGTGAGCTCCCTTACCATTTTTTATAGATTTTACGTTTCTGAGTTGCAGGGTTTTATTCATTAAAAAAGGGGGATTTTCCAGTTTTCCGACAATAACTCAAAAATTCTTTGAGCAGTTTTCATGAAACTTTGGTGATTTGTTTATATCCATTGATGTGAGCTCCCTTTCGATTTTTATAAATTTTAGATGTAACGTTTCTGAGTTATGGGGTTTTATTCATTAAAAAAGGGGGATTTTCAAGTTTTCGGACAATAACTCAAAAGTGCTTTGAGCAGTTTTCATGAAACTTTGGTGACTGGTTTATATCTAGTAAAATAACCTCCCTTAAGTTTTTTATAAATTTCTGAAATGACATTGAGGAGTTATGGAACTTTATTCTTTGAAAAAGCAACAGGCGTATCATGCGCTTATGGCGCAGCTCTTTATTGTGTTTTGGTCTGATTTTCAATTACCATAAACAATAGGTCAACTATATTTGGTGTATGGAATAATTGTAAGATGTACATGTCTGTGTGACAGTTTTTATCTGACCTTGACCTCATTGTCATGGATCTTTAAAAATTTTAAGTTTATGTGATACTTGTAGTAAAACCTTTATCTTTAAGACTTTCAACGTAAAATCAATGGTCAGTAAAACAGGTCAGACATTTCAGCGTGTGCACTCTTGTCTAAAAATATGATTGCATATGATCTCTTTCCTAATACCATTAAATAGATTGAACCAATTTTGATCCACTTGATGTGCAGTTATTCATAGTAAACAAATATTGATTGATTTGATTAATGGCTACTTAATGTCCAGTAGCAAGTGTTACATGTATATTCAGGAAGGTGACATCTTAATATGGAATGAATATAACACCTGTTTTGTACTAAACACACTGAGCTGAATTTTGATGTACTAAATCACAAGATTGCAGTCCACAGCAATACATATCAACATACTCAGACAAATTATTCCATTTCCAAATTGATCAGCTATTACTCTGATTTCAAAATGGCACATGCTTAGCAGAGCAGCTTGAAATACAATTAAGATCCTCTGTAAGCCAATATATAAATATACATATATTATGTTTATTTCTGTTAGATGAAAGAAAGTATGCTTCTCAGATGCTTAAGGGAAGATGAAAAAAGATGTATGAATCATTAGTCAGTCAAGCATTTATCTATTAATAAGGGACAGAAGAAATGCTTATTGCTTATGTAATTATGTAAAAAATGATTGACTTGATGAAAAATGAGTTTCTTTCTCATCCTTTGAAGAATAAAATCTGCTTTTTCTTTTAACCATTTAATCATCTGATGGTGTTAACTAGAGAAGTGTTAATGACTTATTTATGAAAGGAAAGAAGAGGAAGCTAACAGCCATTTATTTTCATGTCCTAAGGTTTTGGGCACTAATATTCCTGTTTTTGACTAAATCTAGAAAGGGGTGTCCTTTTTATACCCCCGTTTTTGGGACATATAATAGTATACCGTTGACCGTCTGTCCATCAGTCGGTCCGTCCGTACGTCCGTCGTCAACATGTCGGACATTAATTCAATAACGCTTTAACCAATATGCATGAAACTTTGGTGAATTGTTTATATCTATTGACGTGAGCTCCTTTTCGTTTTTTATAAATTCGGAGATACCGTTTCCGAGTTTTGAGGTTTTATTCATTAAAAAAGGGGGGATTTTCCAGTTTTCGGACAATAACTCAAAAACAGTTTCACCAATTTGCATGAAACTTTTGTGAATTGTTTATATCTATTGGCGTGAGCTCCCTTTCAGTTTTTATAAATTTCCGATTTACCGTTTCCGAGTTTTGGGATATTATTCATTAAAAAAGGGGGGATTTTCCAGTTTTAGGACAATAACTCAAAATAGATTTCACTAATTTGCAAGAAACTTTTGTGAATTGTTCATATCTATTGAAGTGAGCTACCTTTCGTTTTTTATAAATTTCGGATTTACTGTTTCTGAGTTTTGGGGTTTTATTCATTAAAAAAGGGGGGATTTTCCAGTTTTCAGACAATAACTCAAAAACAATTCCACCAATTTGCAAGAAACTTTGGTGAATTGTTTATTTCTATCGACATGAGCTCCTTTTTGATTTTTATAAATTTCATACTATACTTTTCCGATTTATGGGGTTTTATTCATTACAAAAAGGGGGATTTTCCAGTTTTCGAACAATAACTCAAAAATGCTTTCAGAATTTTTTATGAAACATTGGTAAATTGTTTATATCTATTTTTTTAAGCTCCCTTTTGATTATTATAAATTTTCGATTTTATGTTTCCAAGTTTTAAGATTTTATTTGTTTATAGTCTGACAACAGATTTACTAAGTATTACGCTACAGCACAGTGTATTGCACAACAGCAAGAAATCTTTCATATAACCAAGTTCTTTGACTACATTTATTCAAAAACCTTTAATATATCAAATATTTAATTACAATCCAAATTCAGACCTGTATCAAGCTTGAATATTGTGTCCATTTTTGCCCCAACTGTTCAGGGTTGGATCTCTGCGGGCGTATCCAGCTGCTATCAGCGAAACAGTTTATTGAAGAAGGCCTCATTCAATAAAATTGAGATGAAAGTTGTGGTATATTTTCATTGGCTGAAACTAATGGATCATTTAGAAGATCATCTTTCTTTCTTTTTAAATAAGTAGAAAAGTACCAAGGCGCAATCAAAAACAGTTAGTAAAAGAAAGACAAAATAACCGATGACTAATAAAACTAATAACTAAAAGAAAAAAGATAAAAGGCAGTTAACAGTCCACAAAACATTACACATAAAACCAAAGTACAAATTTCCTAACAAAAGCAGGGGTGAATAGGGGTGAACTCTGGTGCTTCAGATACATAGCAGTTCTTGCTCCACTATTATAAGTCATATTTGGTGATCTCATAAACAAGGAAAGAAGGACATTGCAGATTGTGGTTTTTACAAAGGGGACATATCAGTGGTCAACTATGACACAGATATTTCATAACAGCCAACCAAATCATTGGCGGGTCTGTACAACTTTTAAAGAGATGACTTCAACTTTACCATTGAGAACCCTTGGTTATAAATAATGCTTTGCAATCTCAGCTGTCTTGAAATGATGTCTGAATGCAAAATCACATCTAAATAAAGGTAGTAAAATTGAATCCAGGCCTTATCATGTATAATTGTTTTTGCAAGGACAGTGGTTCAGACAGCTTTAAATTAACACCAGTTCCCACATAAGGCATTCAGTTCATTGGTAATGAATATTTCTGATTAAATATTTATTTTCTAACACAGAAATTATTTTAAATTACATAGTTTATCAACAAAAAATGAAGCTCGACAAGTAATTGTCTTAATGATGTTTCAGAGTTCACTATTATATCAAAATTTATCAAACATTTTAGCTGCTTTAAAAATGCCATTATACAGTTTTATTTGTTTGAGTGTAAATTAACCTTGCAGTAACTTGATTTTAAGTATGGCAACATTTGTATTAAAAATAGATTCAAGTTGTTGTCTGGTATGCTGATACTTGCTGATTAAATTTGAATTTAGTAACAAGTTTATCTGAAAGTCAGATATATCTTGAATTTAAGAATGAGAATGACATGTGATGGATAATTTTCTGCTGGAATTTAAATTTACAAAATGTACTATATTTAAAAGTTTCCCTAAACAACTCTTTTCTTATTATTTTAAATCTCAATGAATTTCATTGTCCACATATCTGTTAATCTGTAAATCATTTTAATCAAAAACTGTTACATGTATTATACACTTGACTGAAAGAAATTAATTGAAGTAGGTCATTTATGAAGTAAATTTGACAGGAAATAAATGAAACTAGGCACTATAGTTGTTTAACTTTTAAGTACAAATTTAAGTATTATATTAGTAGAGCAATTTATTATGACTTTAAAATGATTCATATACTATTATATAAAAAAAGGCACAACTCAATGTTCAGTGACAATTCAATCATTTTTTTGGGGGTTCATCTTTTACCTTTCACCCTTGAGATTGAGATGATTTTTCTATGATATATATTTTTATACTATTTTCTGACTAATGAATAAGAAAAAGATACCAGTACTACCCTTTTTACATTGTTTTAGGGTTTATACTCCCTGGTCATGTTTGCAATCATCTTCAGTAATCAGCTCAGCTGTGTGTATTTACAGTAAATTCAGAAATTATTGCATGCATTTATTATTGTGATTATTGAAGAATGGTAAAAAATGCAAGATTAATCATTGCAATTTCAGGAAAACTGCATACAGAAAAATGCATCATATATCGAAATTAGAGTTTTATTTTTGAGATAGTCAACCAGTTGCATTATTCACATTAATAAAAACCTCAAAATAATTTCTGAATTTTATGCAAAACATGCTTATGATATATTTTACAAATATTTGAATTGCAATATTTATCTTTATAGGCACATCAAAGGGCCCACCTCCTTTGCCTAAAACACCTCCAAGGGGATCAGGTAGCACTGCAGTTAAGAATGCACTTCGTGTCAAAACATCTCCATCACCTGACAGGTCATGTGACATAAAATTGTCCAATCATGTAACAGAATCACAATTTTCATCCAGTCTCACAACTGGAACATCAGAACAACCAGCATCACTGTTAACCAATCATGTAACAGAGTCATATACTGTAGCACTTTCTGGTCAGGTGGAGGGTGAAAAGGTTGAAAATATACCGGCTTCAAAAAATATTTTTGATCCATATCAACATAGAAGCAATACTCTGGAAAGAACTACGTTTGAACACAAAAATATTCAGTGTTTCTCAGTTGAGCATTCAAATACACTCCCTAAAGGACCCCCTAAAGTTTCACCAAAGCCAAAAAAAAGACCACCTAGTGTATTACCAAAACCAAGACTTTCAAATCATTTATCAGAATCAGACATTCAAATTAATACTAGTTTTGATGATGGTCACTTGAATAATAACAAATTGGATTCTTCTCAGTCAGTAACCAGTCAAGGAGATACTTGCACCTGTGGTCAAACTTCAGCTAATTATGATCTTAAAGTGAATGACAAATCAGGAGACATAACTCATGTAAGAGAAAAGGAAGCATTGAAAAACTCACTGGACTCAGAATTACAAAATGGTCATTCCAGACCTCCTCCTATTCCATTTGATACAATACATACTGATGCTGATGATCCTGTGATTAGTTCAAAACTTGTGCAAAATAAAAATGAATGTGTATCTAACTATGTTACTATGGATAAAAGTGTAAAAGTAAATAAAAGTGATGATCCAAAAACTACAGAAAACTTGATAGCTAAGCAAGATGACAAAAAACATAAAAAGGGATTAGACAATTTATTAACAACTTCAGAGATGTGTTCTTCTCTTGAAAAAGATTTAACAGAAAGTATGAATGAAAATACTGCTGGGATAAATTTTTCAATGAAAGACAAGGCTGATGGATTAGGCCAGAATCTTTCTAATATATCAGAGCAACATTTTCACAAGTTTTCTGCAAGCAAAGAAAATTCACCTATTAAGAATAAAGAAAAAAGCAGAGAAAATTCACCTATTAAAACTAAAGTTAACAGCAGAGAAAATTCACCTATTAAGACTAAAGTTAACAGCAGAGAAAATTCACCTATTAAAACTAAAGTTAACAGCAGAGAAAACTCACCTTTTAGAACTATTGAAAACAGCAGAGAATATTCAACTTCTGAAACTAAAGAAAACAGTCCAATTGTATATAGGCGAATTCTTAACAAGGAAAGACTTTCTGTAGGAACTGAGCTACAAAGTGCTTCAGCAAAACAACTTTTTGTACCATCACCTGCTCCTAGAAAACCTTCGCCAAAACCTCGCCCAACTCCTCGAAAAAGGTTGTCAATAACAAAGAGTTGTGATCAAATAGAATCAGTGACTGATTATACTGACTGTATCAGTGCTAAAACAAACACTCCAGTTAGTGAATTGGTTAGTCAGAATTCAGAATATGATGGAAATATCAAAATCTTGTCTGCATCTGTAACACAAGATTTAATAAGTGAGCATTCAGAGATCTCAGAACTTGAAGAAAAAGTGAAAATCCCAAAAGTTTCACCTAGATCTAACAATACTGAACATCTGCTGTTGAATAGTGTTTCTCCTAGTGATGACAATTCTATGAGTAATATTTCTAGTATAGAAAATTATGATAAATCAGAAGGCAACAAGACAAATCAATTTTCAAATCAAAACTTTGCTGGTCATAATCGCATACAACCAGATGAATCACAACGAAAAATGGATTTTTCACCAATGACAGAAGAGGCTTTGGGAGAAACATCTTCATTACTGGATGAAATTGAACAGATTGTTTCTAGGAGGATAACTGCTTTGGGAGGACTTTCAACAGAATTTTCATTAAAAAAGGCTCATTCTATAGAAACATCCACTCCTGTGCGACCTCCACGAAAGAAACAAAAAAATCGTAAAAAAGTTTTGGAACAGTTTAGTGAATCGTGTGCAAGTGACACAGACTCATTAATTGGTGATGCTTCCTATAAAGGTTCATTGTCTTCATTAAATTATTTAGATGATGATGATCAATCATTCAAAGGATCCACTTCATCATTAGCATCAAATCAAAGTGAATCAGGATCTCGGAAACCTTGCCCGCCAAAACCACCTCGTAAAAAACTGCTGAAGTTAAATAGGAGTCAGTCAGATGTAAGTGCTTCTAAGTTTCTTGAAAGAAATAAGGAAAATGTTCATCAAAATGAAACAAAAGAAGAAAAACAGATTCAAAAGGATGGAAGTTCACCAAACTTGCCATCAAGAAAAGGCAGGAGTCTCACAGTTGACTTCCATGTTCCAGCAAATCAGGAAGCTCTGTTGAGAGAAATTGAACTAGCCAATCAGAGAAATGAGAAAAAAAGTTCATCAAATTCTGATGGACAAAAAATGAAACCTAGGAGAAAAGCTCCTCCTCCACCACCTCAGTCAGCCAAGGTCACAGGACTTAAAACGGGTGAACTGATACGGGAGGCTGTGTATGATGACATTGATGACGATAAACCAAGAACAATGTCCATTGGGGACAAGGATTATGTGGAAATTCCAGAAGAATTTTTGGAAAACATGATTCAAACTAATGACAACAACATTTTTCAAAGGTCAAACAAATCTGCTTCACCTCCTGAGCTACCACCAAGGAATTTAAATCAAGGAACACCTATCAACTCTCCACAACTTTCGACAAAATCATTTAATCCTATGCAGAGCTATGGGAGAGAACGACCAATGAGTGATATAAGTGTCAACAGTAGTTTGTCTAGTCAGGAAAGCCCATTACAAGATGAACTGTCCAGTTCAGATTCAGAAGGGGAAGAAGGAGAAGACAGGGTATGTTTTATGCATTTTTTTGTTATTGCATCATAACCATGATAATAAGAAAAATACCTAAGCCAAAAAGTAGGTTAAAAGAGCATTTCAAAAGTTCATTACAAGTGAATGTTGCAAAATGAAAAGCATACTTACTGATGTAATTGAAGTATTTTTTCAATCGTAGGGAAATCCCACAAACAAAAGTTTAAAAAGCCAAAGATGCATGAATATGTTAACAATAGAATGAAATTTAAAAGTCTTAGAAACATAAAACTCATCTTCATATTAGCATTGCCTTATCATGGAGTTGGAACTTTATAAAAGTTTTAACTACAGTTAACAAAACAGTAAAACATTTAGGTCTATATAAGTCAGTTTTGTGTACAAATACTGCTAATAAGATATATACTAATAATAAGTGTGTTGCCTGACAGTGAAGCTGATGGGACAACATCATAAACACTTCTTTTATCTTGCTTTGTTGTCCAATAAAAGTGGCTTGACAGAATTTTATAAAAATTGCACATCTTCTTCTACATGACAAAGTTTTTCACCACTTTATATTTGAATTTTTAATTCTAGGGATTATTTAAGTTAAATATTTTCTACTTATACCGATTATCAGGTTGTCTGCATATTGATATCATAAAATATCAGCTGCAAGTCACTATATGAAGCTTTTTGTCGAGTGAGCGTAGCGAACGAGTTCAAAAAGGCTTCATATTGTGTCTAGCAGCTGATATTTTACGATATCATTATACAGACAACCAGATAATCGATTTATCGGATTGTAATTGCGTACCTTGCATGACAGAAACTAGTGTTTTCTTTGTTTCACATGCAAACCGGAAGATGACTTGATAAGTTCGGGTCAAACTTATCGAGGTCGGTTCATATATTATGACGTCGATGATATGTCCTGGTCAAAGTTATTAAGGCCAGGTCAACGTATTTGACGTCACGAAGCTGTGGTTTGCAATTTTATTAGGAGCTGAGCAGAGTGATATAGACAGTGGGACGACCAATAAGTTATAGTATTTGGAGATTGCGGGCAACACATGACGCTGTCCTTTTAAAAACTGACATATTTTTATCATAGCATTTCCTTATATTTTCTCAAAGCACAGTTAAATGTTTAGACATGTATGATTAGATAAAAAAAATATAGGTCACAATACAATTTTTAACTGGATTTTTGAAAGAAAATTTGTTATTGATTTGGGGATGTACGGCAGGTGGGTGGGCAGGTGGGGCGGCTGCCGCCAAACAGTGTCCTTTCATTCACAAATTTTCAAATTTAGATATGTTGTTTCCTGTGACTAAATGAAGGTCAAGTTCAATTTTCACGATTTTAACTGTTCTCGTTGTAGACCTTTCAGTAGCAAAATTTATTTTTATTATATGAATTTGAGTTATTTCCCTTTGAACAGAAATTAATAATTAATTTTTAACCAGATTTTCGATGGAAAAATCAGTTATTGATTTGGGGATGTATGGCGGGCGGCTGCCAAACAGTGTCTGTTCATTAACATGAAAACCCTTTGACGAAATTTTTTCAAATTTAGATATGTTGCATTGTTTCCTGTGACTAAATGAAGCTTAAGGTCAAGTCCAATTTTCACGATTTTAACTTTTCTCGTTGAATTATTTCCCTTTCCAATAGTCAAAAGTGGTAATTATTATGTGATTGAGTTATTTCCCTTTGAACAGAAATGGTTAATTATACATATAAAGTTTGATTACATTTACAGATAAGTTTTATAGACTTTTAAAAGACATTGTATTAATGATAAATGACATTTTGGATTTTTTTTTCTTTTCTTTGGTAAATTGTTTGAAGAATTTTGTGGTAGGTTTGTTTGTTATTCTGTATAAACTAATTTTCTTAATGCTATATATATATTTTTTTTTTTGATGAAGTGAACTTTAAAAACTAAGCTTACATTGTCTATTTATAAACATATATTTAGATTTCTGATTTTGGTTTAATTTCATCAAAAATTGAATTCTTGGAGTTCTTTGATATGCTGATTCTAACAATGTTTTAGTGGTTAAATCATATATAATTTTATTGATTATAATTTGAAAATAGATATATATAACATCATATCTAAGTTTAGGGAACTATTTTGTAGTGGTTAAATCATATCTAATTTTAGAGAACTATGTGTTTATTATTCAGATTGAGTTGAACAGAAAATTATATGGATAAAATTAAACTGTGTTTCATTTCAACATAAATTAAATATATATAGGGTTCTTTCAATGCTGAATCTAAACCTGTATTTAAATATTAGATTTTGGGCCCAGTTTTGAGTTGGTCAAAATCGGGGTCCAAAATTAAACTTTGTTTGATTCATCAAAAAAATGAATTTATGGGGTTCTTTGAAATGCTGAATCTATTAAACCATGTATTTAGAGATTTTGGATTGTGGGCTCCTTTATCAAATTGGTCCACCAGGGCTCACGCTACCAGGCGACTAGGGCGAAGAAGTCACTTTCCCGTCTGTCAATTCTCTTTGCCAGACTCTCAAAAGCAAAAACAAGTCGCCCTGTTGTTTACGATACTCGCTTTCAGTTGCTTTCGTCATCGGCAATATTCAATTTTTACCAAGTTGATGAAACAGCAATTTTTATACGACCGCAAAAAAATTTTTGTGGTCGTATATTGGTATGACGTTGGCGTCGTCGTCGTCGTCGTCGTCGTCGTCCGGCGGCGTCGTCGTCGTCCGGCGTCGTCGTCCGAATACACATTAGTTTTCGCACTCTAACTTTAGTTTGAGTGAATGGATCTCATTGAAATTTTACCATAAGGTTCAATACCACAAAAGGAAGGTGGGGATTGATTTTGGGGGTTATGGTACTAACAATTAAGGAATTAGGGGCCAAAAGGGGCCAAAAATAAGCATTTTTGTAACTTCCAGACATAACTTGTGTGTAAATGTATGGATCTCTCTGACATTGTACCACAAGGTTCCATATCACAAAGGGAATGCTGGGATTGATTTTGGGGGTAATTGCCTCCAAATTTTAGGAATTAGGGGCCAAAAAGGGGCAAAAAACAAGCATTTTTCTAGTTTCATGACAATATCTTGTTTGTAAGTGTATGGATCTTTATGAAATTGTACTACAAGGTTCCATATCACAAAGGGAATACTGGGATTGATTTTTGGGGTAATTTCCTCCAAATTTTAGGAATTAGGGGCCAAAAAGGGGCAAAAAACAAGCATTTTTCTAGTTTCATGACATAACTTGTTTGTAAGTGTATGGATCTTTATGAAATTGTACTACAAGGTTCCATATCACAAAGGGAAGGCTGGGATTGATTTTGGGGGTTTTCTCTCAAAATTTTAGTAATTAGGGGCCATAAAAGGGCAAAAAAAACATGCATTTTTCTAGTTTCAGGACAATAACTTGTGTGTAAGTGTATGGATCTTTATGAAATTGTACTGCAAGGTTCCATATCACAAAGGGAAAGCTGGAATTGAGTTTGGGGGTAATTGCCCTAAACGATTAGGAATTTGGGGCCAAAAAGGGGCCAAAAAACAAGCATTTTTCTAGTTTCCAGACAATAACTTGTGTTCAAGTGTATGAATCTCTCTGAAATTGTACTGCAAGGTACCATACCACAAAGGGAAGGCTGGGATAGAGTTTGGGGGTGATGAATCATAAGGGGGTTCAAAAAATTGGGGGGGGGGGATTTTTTTTTCCTTTTTTTTCTTTAACATTTTCCATTTTAAATTGGTTATTTCTGATTTATATATAAAAGCAAATAATAATGATATGGTTTGAATAGGCATACATGTGAACCTCCCGACGGGAGTACAATAATCCCGTTTTCAGGGGTCTCCTCCCGACCTCCCGTTGAAGAGGAAAAAATCCCGTGTATGAAATTTTTCATGAATGAAAAATTTCTGCCCAACATATCATCTCAGGCATCTGGTGTAACTGACATTACCTGAAGTTATATTTTACCTGTAAATCAATTAACATGCATAATTATATGGCTTCACTTGTCAGCTTGGGTGTCAAACATACAGGTAATCAACGATTTTTTACCTCAGGCTAACTGCCGTTGTGTAACAAAAACTGTGTATTTATTGGGTTACTTCCCTTGATTTATCCTGTTTTAAGTTACTTTCCTTTTAATAATGAAAATTTTTAAAAGAATATAAATAAAATATAAATTGAACAAATAATCATAAAAGGATGGTTATTAAATTATTTGAGGATTCTATACTTCCTTTCAAGGCTTAAATTGAAATTTATATAATAATTATGACCCTAATTTTACAGATAAAATGATTTTCTGAGTTTGCAAATAAAAACTATTTGCAAGAGAAAAAAAAAAAAATAAAAACTATTTGCAGATAGCTAAACAAATGTTCTGGTTGCAATGATTGTTTTATAGAATATGAAGTAAAAAATTTAAAGAACATACTGGAAAAAAACAATGTTAGATTGAACATGTAGAATATAAAGATGGAGAAACTTTATAAGTACAAGGGTACTATAAACATAATAAATTGGATGGAAAGTTGAAGAAAACACACTTTAAAAGACCATTTTTACAGCACACGGTTACATTTACAACAAAATTAATGTCGATTAAAAACCTCCTGATCTGAGTCCTAATCTCCTGACCAAAATTTCCCAATCTCCTGATCTGAGTTTCACAGTCCATCACATGTATGAATAGGTAAATTGAAAATTTTTAAGTTCTTAGACCACTTTCATTCTGTGTCAGAAACCTATGCTGTGTCAAATATTTAATTACAATCCAAATTCAGTGCTGTATCAAGCTTGAATGTTGTGTCCATACTTGCCCCAACTGTTCAGGGTTCGACCTCTGCGGTCGTATCAAGCTGCGCCCCAGCGGAGCATTTTATTCCTTTTAAAGTAAGGAAATACAAGGCATAAACTATTTATTTTCATCACAAAAGAGGTTAAAGCATTTTTTTAAGTTGGTGGCATGTTATTTCATAAAAACAATTTTTTATCACTTCCGGTACTTGTCC